ACCTAGTGATGAATATGGACATCATCACTGTCTGCCTGACAAAGCCTAGCAGGGTTTACCCTGGGCATGGCCCTACACATTGAGAGCCAAGAACCCATAGACACAGTCTTAAGCCAAAGTCTGTCTCCCTAAGCCTCTCACACCTCTGAAGCTAGTGACCAGATGACGGCACGCTCAGCAGTTAAGAGCACTGGTTGCTCTTGCAGAGGACTTGGGTTCCACATGGCTGCTCACAACAGTCTGTTACTCCAGTTCCAGAGGATCTAATGCCCTCTTCTGGCCTCTGCAGGCACTGCATGCATGAGTACACTTACATGTATGTAAGTGAAACACCCATACATATAAAATAAAAATAAATAAATAAATAAATAAATAAATAAATAAATAAATAAATTCAAAACAAAAAAAGGCTTGGCAAGAGGAAAACCCACAAGCACATACCTTGATGTCCCATACACACATTAATTCTGCTTCTTGTTCCTTTAAACTTTGCTTTGACTCACTAGTCACAGGCAATTACTTAGCTGAACTGAACTGGACATCTGCAAGGGGCTGGATGTCACACCCCTCATATCCCAGCATGCCTTGCAAAGTCATAGAGATAAATTAACTGGTATTAGGAACACCAATGGAACCCCAAATTTAAAACAACTCAGCATGAAAGATGTGATATGATTATAAAACTTGAGAATCTTTTTTAATTTTTATTTGTTATTCTTATTTTATGTATATGTGTGTATTGCCTGCATGTAGGTAAGTGCACCTGTGTCTTGCAATGCCTGCAGAGGTCCGAAGAGGCTGTCGGATCCCCTGGGACTGGAGTTACAGACAGTTGTTAGCTGCCATGTGGGTGCTGGGATTCGAACCTGGGTCTTCTGCAAGAACAACCAGTGTTCTTAACTGCTGAACCATCTCTCCAGCCCCCAAAACTTGAGAATCTTTCTAAAAATGTATTATACTTACAATGAAAACTAACCAATAGAAATTCCTTGCACTTTCAATAAATCAACCCAACAATGTCATACTAATGACATAAGCTTTCTGGAAAAGCGACCTATTTGAAATTGATGCACTTATTCTAAGGCTGGAGATAAGTCTGCTATGCATAGTCTCTGAAAACAATGAATGTTATCTTACTGGTACCAAAGACAGAAATGCAGAAGTAAAATTTCTTTTTCAGAGCTGCCTGACAAAATTAGCACTGTTCTATTCTGCTTTATTTCCTCAAAAAATAAGTTTAGCTTCATGACTAATAATAAAAACACAAACAGTATTTTGAGAAAGCTGGAATGTTCTCTTTTCATCAGATAGTCCCTAGTGTATGAGCCAGTACCCTGCTGTGCAGCTCCACCAAGGCTGATCCTCTAGCTGAAAGCTTAGGAGACACAGGAAAGGAGCACAGAAGTTCAATCAAAAAGAAGGGTGGGAGGATATGAGGGACAAAGCAGGTGCTAAGCACAGTTCAAGGCCCTGGGTTTGATCTTTAGTAATGCATTCAAAACAAATAAATAATAGAGAACATTTTCTAATTCTGAACATGGCCTTTTAAGAAAACAGCTAAGCTAAATAGATTTTACTTTTTAAAATGCAAAATAACTGAAAAATAATCCTAGTATATTTAGATACAGCTAGAAGGATATTTAACCAAGAGACAGCAAAAACAGGGTTAGAGAGACGGCTCAGCAGTTACCAATGCATACTGCTATTGCATAGGATCCTGGTTCCACTCCCAGCACGCACATGAGATGGCTCACAACTGCCTGAAACTCTGGACAAAGAGTGGCCTCCATGGGCACTAACACACTTGCACATACAGACCCACACATATGTATAGTTTTAAAGAATAATAAAATCTTTAAAAACAGTGAATACCGGAAACAAACTTAGGATTGGTTCAGAAAACCACAAATGATGTATGAGAATATTTTAGTGACATAAAAGATGCTCATAATTGAATGAGAAGGAAGTTGGAAAATGTAGGTGAAAATTCAGGTTTTTTTTGTAGAGAATAGCTTTCTAGTTGTGTAGCTTTGGGATAGTATATAAGTAACTTTATGTAAGAAAAACTTCTACAAATCATTTTCTCCCCAATACAAAGAAAATTAAAAGTGTCTACCTCACAGGGCTGTCATGGGGATGACAGAGGGTGACTGGTCCACAGTAATCTCAGTACGTTAGGTCTCGGTGTTACATTGCACATGTGTGAAAGACCATGGGAGGATTTAATGTTAAGTGATTGGAGAGGTGGGATAACAGCTGGTTTATTCTACCCAGTCTTCTAAATTTTTCATAAACAACATTACTTTTAATATGAGGAAAACTAGGACATGGGGATAGTCACACACAATAGTGATCCTTTTAAAGATCTACCTTAGGGCTTGTTTATAGCGAATAAATCTTGGCTGAGCTAAATTGGGCCTTCACATTCATTTCAACACATTTTCTTTACCATTATTTAAATCAAACTTGTCAGTACTACTTTATTAGGTAAAGCAAGATGTACCGGCATTTCTCAGCCTCTCAAGAATATATGAGCCCCAATTCAAAAATCATCAGAATGGGAGCTGGTACAATGGCTCAGTTGTTAAGAGCACTGGCTCTTCTTACAGAAGACCCAGGTTCAACTCCCAGTACCCACATGGCAGCTAACAACCATCTGTGACTCCAGTTCCAGGGGACCTGATGCCCTCTCTGTCCTCCTTGGGCACTGCATGACATGGGTACACTTACATACATGCACGTAATGTATTCATACACATAAATAAAATTTCAAAAACCATCAGAATGCCACTAGGTTCCCCATCATGAGTGGAAGGCAGCCTGGTACAGCTCACACATTTCTTGCCCCCTCCCAACTCTCCTTTTTGATTCCTCTTCTCACCCCCTAATCAAAGGCTGGCATTTTGCTCTGCTGGACTGTACATCACAAGGGCAGTAACAGGATCTCCTTCATGTTAGCACCCAGCACAGTGGCTGGTATTTAATAGTTTACTAAATACTCACAAAGGCATGAGCTCAATGACTTATCTGGTAATTCAGAATTCCATTCCATCAGAAGATAAAATAAATTACTCGTTCTTTAGTCCAAAATTCAAAAACTCTTAGGAATTGTTCCAGAAAGAAAAGAAACAAGAAAGAAGAAGGCGGATGTGATAGTGTATACCTGTAAGCCCAGCACATGATGTGGGAGACTAAGACCAGAAGATCTCATTCTCTCTTTCAATCTCACCTCAAATAGCACATTAAAAAAAAAAAGGTTGTCACCTGTATTTCCGTCTATTTTAACAAGTGCAAGATAACGTCCCTTTTTCTGTATAAAGCCCCACAAACCCCTGTGAACACGTCGTAACTTGCTCAGCCAATGTACTACCTTCTGGTCAGCCTGGCTCTCCGAATTGCTGTGCTCACCACCCCCTCTCCACAGCACAGTGTCTGCAGGTATATGGCAAAGGCTTCAGAGCTTTCCAAATATCCCCTAGGCTTTCACCAGGCTTTGGGAAGATAAACCCAAAACAGGGAGAAACAACCCCAGGGTGTCCTGGAGTTTCTCTGCAGGTTCATAGGTCAACCAGCTTGACTTAAAAATGAAACCAACGGAAGCAAATTAAATATTAACTTGTTTAAAATCCTTCACTAGGAGACAACTGTGAAGTAAGACTACCAGTGGACCAAGGAAATGGGCTATAAAAAAAAAAGGGTGTGTGTGTGTGTAACTAGAGAACTTTCTAATCCCTTCTTTTGGCAAATTCCGGTCATGTCACTCTCCACCTTAGCTCAAATGGTGAGAGGAGCCTCTAAGGCACAGGGCGGGAATAACTCCTGCTCAGGTATCCACCCTGCTGTGTTTAGCTTCCTGAAAACATCCCTTCCTACTCCAAGGGACTTGCCTCAGCCTTTCACAAACTAAACCTGGCCCCTCCGGGTTTGCCAGAAGGAAATTAATTGGCTATTACCTCCGCATCTGGAACTTGCTATATTTATAGGTAAACAGTTACAATTTGCTGGAATCTGCTTTTAGAAGAGCCCGTGAGCAGACTTCTGTGCTTTCATCCTCATTGGTAACCTCATTAATCATCATTTAACTTTCATTATTTTCTGAAGGAATCCTAATCTCATTTTCCCGGTTTGGGATGTTTAATGCAACTGAGGACTCAAAGTTAATAGATTTAACTAGGAGTGAAAAGTACGATTCGAAGTCCACGCCGACCCACTGACAAAAAAAGAGCTGAACCTCTTCAAAATTTCAAGCACATGTCAAAATGATTTTAAGCTCATTTTAGAGTAAGCAAGCCTTGAATCTGAGTAATGATGGATTAATGGAGTACAGAAAATAAACTCTTTGCTTTTGAGAGAACGATTATCCAGACCACAGATGGTGACGGGGACGGTCCACTCCCACCTATCTTGTCTCCCTTCCTTACAGGAGCGCAGCTCTGGAGGAGAGGTTCCGTCTGGGCAACCCGAAGCTGGCCTGCTGCTGTCCACCTATCGGGGACAGTCTCTCCTCCACCACCCGAACTTCAGCCCTGACTTCCGCCGTTGCTTCTGCACAATCTATGATTTAACCTGTGTCATTTCAACGTCACCACCGAGAAACAGAAATGGGTAGCAAATGAATGAGCCGGAGGCTGCGGAAAGGACAGTCGCCAGCTGAGCTCCTGCACGCCGGAATCCAGGAGGGATGCCGGGGCGGGGCGGCGGGGGGCGGCTAGCGCCACGTCCCGCCGCCAGCCGCTGCCCCCGCGCACCCCGCAGCCCATCCTCCTCCCCGCTCACCGCTCGCAGCCGGGCTGGAGCTCCGGGGCCTCGCTCGGAAGCGCAGGGTCTGCGGGGAGGGCTCAGGGCCGCCGTGCGGGGGCCGCAGCGCGCGCTAAAAAAAGTCTCCCGGCGGCCGAGTCTGGCCGCGGCGCGCTGCTTTCCGCCGTCCCCGCCCCGCACGGCCGGCGCCCCGCGCTCCTGACATCACTCGGCCGCCCGCCCCCTCAGGCTCGGTGACTCACCCAGAGGCCCGCGGCTGTGCCGGCTGCCCAGGCTCCCGCGGCGCACGACGGAGCTCGACAAACCGGTGCGACTGCTTCAGACCAAGGTCCGCGCCGACCCTCCCCTCGGCCTCGCAGCTGCGGGAAGGAGGGGCCTGGCAGGAGCGCACCCGGCTGCGGCTGAGCGCTCAGCGCGCACCTCCTCGGCCAGCTCCGGGATCTGTCTGGGAAAGTTCTCTGGGTGCCACTCCCAGCAACTTTCAGGGGTGGGGCCAGGAAGGGATAAGCCACCCCCGCACCTCCTCAGGTTTCGGGAACGGCTTCCTGATCGCGGATGGGAGCGGGCTGGGGGCACCCGCGCTGACTCAAAGGGTGGTACCCCGCCCAGGTCAACCGGGTGGGTTTCCAAACATCACAAGACTGCCAGGCTGGGTTAGTCACCAGCCCGCCAGCTGGCACCTTGGGTGAGCTGGAAGGGTGTGTGCCACCCGCTAGGGATTCTAAGTAACCACCTTGTCATGCCCCGTTAGTTGAGCTGCGTTCCAGCAAGGATGAAAGCCCTTAACCAAAATGACCACTGAAAGGGTAACTCGACTTAGACGGCTGCGTTTCTCCTGCTTTAGGGGGCACAAGTGGCCCATGTGAACTTCGCTGATGACCTCAGCAGTTAGGTTGGGGCTGTCGCCTTCTAAAAATGGCCAAGGCTCTGCATTTTCTTGGAGTTGTTTCTACACCTGCTGGCAGTTTTCTGAATCAACTATGGTAGCCTCAGAGGGTCTAATCCAAGGAATTAGCTAATTTTTTGTTGACTCTATTTGGCAGAAATGCTTTATGGCAATGTCGACTTCTCTTCAGAATTTGTGGCCTATTTGTCTAGGATTTGTACTGACCTATGGGTAGTCTCATATAATCAACAAAATAGAATGAAACATTTCTGGGGTCTATTGTGGATATTGTGTGAATAATCATTTGTCTATGATTATCAGACATAATAGTAGTTAAAAAGGACAGGCGAGTGTGGTGGCGCACGCCTTTAATCCCAACACTTGGGAGGCAGAGGCAGGCGGATCTCTGTGAGTTCAAGGCCAGCCTGGTTTACATAGTGAGTTCCAGGCCAGCTGGGGCTACAGGGAGACCCTGTCTCAAAAAGACCAAAAAAAAAAAAAAAAGACAGGCAAGAGAACTTGCAAGCTGACAGCCATAAGGCTATAAGGTGTGTCTGAATACAGAAGTTTAAAGGAAACCACTCCTGAAATTAACCAAATGTTAGACATCACTGTTGCTTAAAATGTACTTGTTTTTAAAGCTACAGAAAGGTAAAGCTCCAGAAAAGAACACCAACAATCGAAATTCATTTTCCTTGGGTTTATTTTTCCTTTTCACGTTTACAAAGTCCAGGCATTTTGCCCAGAAGGCAATAGAAATGGATTGGTTTGCTAGGATGTAGTCAGAGTAAATGGAAATTTGAACCAACAATTTTTGCAGACAGTTACAGATCTAATTCAGAAGCTTGAGTTTCTGATCTGGGTGAAAAGGTCAAGATTCTAATGAGTAGCCTTGTATAGGCAAGTTGGGGTGAAGAGTCCACCTCTTCCTTACTTCGTGACTCAAATATTTGGGCATTAAGGAAATATGTGTAAGTAGAATTTCCTACAGAACTCAAAAAAGTGATATTGTAGGCTTTTTGAACTACCTGTGTGATGGAGTTGTGGTTCCATTGTTGTATGATCCTGCATGGGTTTCTGTGTAGACGGCAGAGGAGCAGATAGCTTTGAATTATGGTCCTATTGTGCTTCAGTTGAAACAAAGTAAAATAAATAATTAGGTCATTTTATCATGCCATTTACCCCAAATAAATGGTGTGTGGGGGAGCAGGTCCCCAATCTTAGCACTTGGGAGGCAGAGGGAGGAGGATCAGGAGTTCAAGATTAACCTCCCCTGTCAAGGGAGCCCAGGGCCAACCTGAGCTACATGAGACACTGTCTCCAAAAGTAAAAAAAAAAAAAAAAAAAACAAACCACCAAACCTGAAATGAGTAGCAGAGTATTTTGTGAATGAACTGCGTGAAGCTTTTCAATGATACTCGTTGACTTAAAACTTTTTGTTATTTTTATTTCATGTGTATGAGTGTATTGCCTGCATGTAGGGAGGTATACCCATATCATGCAGATATCTTCTGATATCTGAGGGCATCGGATGCCCTGGAACTAGAGTTACAGATGGTTGTTAGCCACCATGTGTGTGCTAGGAACTGAACCCAGGTCCCCTGGTAGAGGCAGCTAGTGCTCTTACCTGCTGAGCCATCTCTCCAGCCCCAATACTCACTGACTTTTAAGAAAGCAATTATTCGAGGGGTGTGGTGGCACAGGCCTTTAATCCCAGCACTCCAGAGGCAGAGGCAGGCGGATCTCTAACTTAAAGGCCAGCCTGGTCTACATAGTGAGTGCCAGGACAGCTGGGGCTACAGGGAGACACTGTCTCAAAAAGACCAAAAAAAAAAAAAAAAAAAAGCAATTATTCATCTTAATTTCTGTTTTAGAAAATAGTTTTTACAAAAAGAGGTGGTATTTATTTATTTAGATCTTTTTGAAACAGTGTCTCCCTTGTAACTCCAGCTGGCCTGGACCTACTTATATAAACTACCAAGCTGGCCTTAATCTTAGAGAGATCTGCCTGCCTCTGCCTCCCCAGTGCTGGGACTAAAGGCATGCACTACCACACCTGGCTTGTTTTCTTCTTTTAATTATACCTTTGGTTCTTGCAATGTATCAAAGTTTACTAAATCCATGATTTATCCATCTTTCAAAAATAATGGTGTTGACCCTTGTGATGTATCAAAGTTTACTAAATCCACGATTTATCATCTTTCAAAAATAATGGTGTTGACCCCTCAAAGGAGAGAAAGGAGAGGAGCTAGAAATGACTCAGTGGTACACAGAGTACCTAGTTGGACCCCCAGTACAGAAGAAAAAATAAGCCAGATAAAACCAGTTTCCCAGAGAGAAGATGGTCCAGAGGTAAGCAGGGTATGGTGGTGCACACCTATGATACCAGCATTGGGAGGATGAAGCAGGGGGATTCAGAGGGGAATTCAGCCTGGGTTATGTAGTGAGACTATCTCAAAAAAGGTGGGTAGGGAGGGGCTGGGGAAGAAGGGACTGCTTGATTGTAAATCAATGTGCTTATGTCAAATGCTTTTTCTAAGCCATACTGTAAATCACCTTTTACAGATAGCTCTTTGGTTGATAAAACAAACTGATTAAAGCAGGAAAACATATATATCTGTAATACTTATCTCCTCTTATTCCTGTTCTCAACATACCGAAAGTTATGTATTTAGTTAGTAAAATTTGATTGCATTTCCACTTTGTGCCCAGGGTTGTTTATCTAAGAATCACCATATGTACCTTCTGAGCTGGTCTCAGCATTAGGAAAGGCTTTTTTGTTGTTGTTTTTCTTGTATGACGATGTTTATGGAAGTGCCTTTTGTAATTTTCCTGGTGTCAAGCATTCTGCTTGGCATGTGATCATCAAGGAAATAAAGGAATGAACAAGCCTTACAGAACAAACAGGTAGTACAGAAAACTCCATGTTAGGGGATACTAAATAGCCAATGAAAACTAAGATCAAAGTATTTCTACCTTATACAGTGTTGATGGGAAGGTAAACTGATAAAGCCACTTTAGAAAACACTCTAGAGGATTTTCAAAAAACTAGAAGTGGCTCAGTGGGTAAAGGTGCTTCCTGCCCAGCTCGATAACCAGACTTCAGTCCCTGGGAGTCACATAGTAGAAGGAGAGAGTTGTCTTCTGACCTCCACATATGTGCTGTGGCATGCACACACATGCACTCAATGTGTGCACACATACATATACAATGAATAAGTAAAAATGTAATTTTAAAAAACTAGAAATAGCCAGGTGTGGTAGCACACGCCTTTAATTCCAGCATTCAGGAGGGCAGAGGCAGGTAGATCCCTTTGAGATGGTGGCCAGCCTGGTCTACAAAGCGAGTTCCAGGCCAGCTGAGTCTACAAGGAGCCCCTATTTCAAAAAACCAAATAAATGAATATAAAAAAACAGAAGTGAACTGCCAGCATGCTCTACATAGGGACTTCCAGGCCAGCCAGGCCTATATAGTGAGACCCTGTTTCAAATACACATATATAAATAAATCTTCCCTTAAGTGAAAAAATGTAAACAGAAAAGAAATACATATACCATTTAAAAATATTTTATTTATTATTTTTTATTTTATGTGTATGCGTGTATTGCCCGCATGTAGGTAAGTGTACCCATGTCTTGCATGCCCGAGGGGGACAGAAGAGGCCGTCAGATCCCCTAGAACTGGAATTACAGTTATAGACAGTTGTTAGCTGCCATGTGGGTGATGGGATTCGGATCCAGGTCTTCTGTAAGAACAGCCAGTGTTCTTAACTGCCGAGCCATCTCTCCAGCCCCAAGAAATACATATACCATTTTTACATAACAAATATTACTTCCCGAACTCCCAAAATTATATAACCTAATTATATACAGATAACCCTCAGTATGTCAGTGGAATTTATTGCAGGGCTTCAGATGCCAAAATCCATAGATATTCAAGTCCCTTATATAACTAGTATGGTATTTGTTTATAAAATGATAAACATTAATTTACTTTACATCATACCTAATACAAAATAAACGCTATACAAATAGATGTAATGCCGTATTGTATAGGGAACGGTGATAAGAAAAGTTCTGTACATGTCAGTTATACATGAATTTGGGGTTTTTTTGGTCTTTTTTGAGACAGGCTCTCCCTGTAGCCCTAGCTGGCCTTGCAGATCAGGCTGGCCTTGAACTCACAGAGATTCACCTGCCTCTGCCTCCCAAGTGCTGGGATTAAAGGTGTGTACCACCACACCACCTGCACATGAAGTTTTCTTTAACCCAGTATTTTCATTCTGTGTGGTTGGTTGAATCCATGGATATGCAGCCCGCTGATGAGGAGAGCCGATCACGTCCCCACTTGGCAATAAGATAGGAGGGCAAAATATGACATGAAGGTTTGTGTCTTGGGCTACTTTCCAATGAATCTGTATTACTTCTGTAATTAAAAAGAACAAGGTGAGCAATGTTAAAATTTAAAAATTGATATCATAATGAGTCCATGCAACCAGGGAACTGTGTAACTGTGCAAACAAACAAACAAAAAATAACCAGAGCAACTAGCAGGGATGGTGCTCAGCCTCTGCGTGTACGGTCTGAAATATTCACAGTATTGCAGGCCCATCCAAAGAGCAAACACCTACTCTTTATTGAATACTTACTAAATGCAAGAGACTTTTGAAATTGATTTACCTTGACTCTCCTTTAGTCTTTTCAGCAACTTTTGCTAGTTATGAAAAAA